AAATAGTTATTGAATATAATAGAATTTAGAGCTTAACACTTTTATTGACGACTAATATTTACCTTACTATGCCACTCTACAAAACTGCAAACACAGTCGATTTAGCAAAGCAAAAATTCAAACGTTTAGATTCACTGAGCAGAAAGAGAAAAAATGAACTTTATTTCCCAGTTTTTTATCTTCTTTAATGATCAAATATAACTGCTATGTATTCCGGTTGACAAATAATTTCAACCAAAACTAAAGCAAACATTCTTTGCAATATTTTATTGATCGTTAACTGTAGGTATCACCTTTACAAAATAAATTAATCACAACGAAATAAAAAAGCAAAGATTAGCAGGACTACAATCAACGTCTGTAAAAAGTGGAAATATCACCAGCAAAGCAAGAAAACACTTATTTTAGCACACCTTTAACATTTTTTCAACATAGTCGGCAATTTGCAATAAGCTGCAACAGCTTGACATCCATCAAGTTAGCTGCTCTTGATTTCCCTTAACAATAGTCCTTTCTTTATCAATTAATTTCTTCTCAATTGCACTTAAGCTCAATAATTACCAAGTTACACTTAGTAGCCAAATAATACAAAAGCAAAGAAGAAAGTAGAACCAGAAATAGTTGGGAAAACTTCTCTGACTTTTTCATTTGGCAACGGCTATAAAATACTAACGACTTCCTTAACGTCTCTTTCAACTTTGAAAAACGCTAAAAAAAAAAAACCTGGACTAATAAGCAAATAGACTGTATGAAAATGGCTACAGTTCTACGCTCTCAAATCAACTAACATTAAAACAGCAGCAAAAATTTAAGAGTACTCTTTTCTCTTTGTGAACAACGAGAGTAACAAGTCTTCTAATCAATACGAAAAATTTCTGGAAAACAAATGCCTAACAGATCCTGACCAACTGATACGTTGCAACAAAAAAAAGTAAGTACTTTCAAAAACCAAAAAAAACTAAAACCTCTAAAGCGAAATTTGAACTTAAAAGTCTCAACCTTGGTGATCTATCAAGAACTTGAATACCGAGAGAACGCGATGCAGTCAGTTACTCGACGTATTTCAAAGATAACCCCCTGTCCAATGAAACGATAATTTGAGGCAGTAACAAAATGAAATTGCCATATTCCTTCAAAACTTAACACACACATCCCTACGTTGAAGGCCGTTTTTCAACTTATTCACTTTTTTTCACCAGGTCAATTGTTATGAATATCAAGTGTGCAATATCAAAAACTGAACGAACATTGTTAACGTTATAAATGGCAATGTATATTAAATTCGTTTTAAACAGCACTTCCCAAATACATATTAACCGTCAGTTTTACCAGCTTATCACACCCAACTAAATAACACCAAATTCCTGATAATATATCCAGTATTATCATCAAGCATTTATAAAGCATGCCGCGACCACTCTCCATTCCCGCCACGAATCAAAAGTAAACTTACTGCCACCTGATTCACAGCACTAAAAAATCTTGATTGCACGCGCAAACTGATCTCATCTGAACGCATCTCGCGTATTATTCAGTGTATATCCTCTAGTATAAGCTATAAAAAACTTAGAGTATATTCCTTCTCTGCCTTCAACCTTCGAACACTTCACAACTCTAACTTTGTAGAAAGGACCTTCAAGTAAAAAACCAACTTTCTGTCTCTTCTTCTATTTCATGTTATACCAGCAGTAAACTAACGGTCACAGCAAAAAGCTACAAAATATCTTTTCTCGTCAAATGACAAATGGCAACAGCTAACCAGCATGACCAATTCAACAGAGAACTCCTTGGACACCAAAAAGTTATCAAGTTAATCCCCCTCATTTTTCTGCCATTCATCACTCAAATTATTATCAAACTCATACACCTACCGTTCCAATTAAATCAAAAGTATACTTTGCTACGTAATCGAAAATAATTTTTCATTTGAAAAGAAAACCTATTACAACCAACTTAAGAAAGCTGAAAGCCTAATCAGAAACATTGAACTCATTGTCATTTTAGCAATTATTGCGAGGAAAGTCCAAAAACAGATTAATAAACGAGAAACATCCTGATCACAGAAGTTAAAAGCAAGACCACTGAACCTAAATCGGGATTACTATAAACGATTAACCTCATCACAAAATAGAACTTGCAAAGCTATAGCACTAGAAAAAATTTACAGTTGTACTACAGTAACCAGAAGCCAACTCAAAATAAAACTGCAGATTTTAGTGATAAAAAACAACAAATTACAGTTTCCTAATTAGAAATCCAGTTGAATGGCCTATCCAAACTGCATCATTTAGTATTCACAAAAACTGAGAGACAATACTTCTCTCCAGAAAGACTATTTACTTTTTAATGGAAGAAATGACGTTTATAAGTGAGCAGTAAAGCATACCGAGATTTCTAAAACCCGAATCCAGAGTTTCAAACTTGAGATGGCAAGAACAAAAAAATACAAATTAGATGAAAGACGAAGCGCGTCAAATAAACACATATCATCTCTAACAAACAAATAAAACCTAATAGTGATGACAGGATTAACTAACAAGCATTCACAAATATAAGACACTCATTGTTTGAATTAACCACCTCCCCAAATATTGATCTAGAAATTTTTGTAAGTAAAAGCAGTGAGGGCAAAATACGGCTACAGCGAACAAAGACAAATAGCAAACCTACAGACGAACGACATAAAAGTAATACATAAGAGAAAGCTCAATTACCATCCAGAAAACATGGAAAAAAATAACTTCCACAAGCGATACCAACTTGAGCAAAAAACATGACAAGCAAAAGTAATTAAGAAAGTAATACAATAAACAGTTCAAAAAAAGAATGAATGTTACCGACATTTATAAACTGACAGTTAGAGAAAAAAAACAATCAGACAGTTATAGCTATAATAATGAATAAGTTTTTGAAAAACAAAAAATAAAATTCAATCAAATTTTTTTCCTGATTACAACTGCAACTTAATGACTTGATGAATTATGCAACTATACACAAAATACGTCGATACTGTACACAAGAAATATGTAAAGCAATAACCCTCGAAACTAGAAACAGAATTAGTAACCGCCGCATTATTACGTACGATCAACAACCACCGGTGAACAAAACATTTGGTAATGCGAATCAAAAAATTTTAAATTTTTTGATACATAATTTGCCGCAGAACGATACTCCTTACTTGCAGTAAAACTATCATCGCTAGAATCGCAAGACTCATCAAACCCGTAATAACTCGTCGTATTATTTTTCGACCCATTTTCTGTACAGAAAACAGGATTACCAACAAATAACTTATGTTTTGTCTCGACCTCTGGTGGTAAACTACTCGGTTCGCACTCAGCAATTTTTTTGGTATCGTTCTGAACTATCACCGAAATATTTTCCGCTACGCGCCTTTCCAAATTACGTGAACGAGACATCGAGTTCTTTGAGTAAACCTTTCCTTTTGCTTTCAGTGTTCTGCCTTTTGACTCTAAAGGGCCTAACGACTCATCAAGAGAAACTTGAGTTCCTGCTTGTGAAGAACCAGACGACTTCACAGCACTTTGACCGACAGACCCCGCACTATAAATTAGGTCTTTTTTTATTCTTCGCTTCCTACGCCTTGTTCGACTTCCAAAAAGGCATCTCCTTTTCTTCCGAGTACAAGTTTTTTTGACCTCCGTTGGTGTTGATACATCCCCTTCCAAAAGAGCTTCACACTCAGATGGAAATTTAAAAAGATTCTGCACGTCCTCACACGAATCTGCCTTCCTTCTCTTACCAAATAAAGGTGCTTCAGGAGTTTTAGAAAGCGAATGTTTTAGTGGAAATTGCCGAGTTTTAGAAGCTACCTTTCCACTTTCCGTCGGCGATTTCTTCACTGAGACATCGCAACAACAGCCTAAACTAAATTCTTCACAATGGTACAAAACTTCGTGTAAAACCAACGAATGTTATATAATGCTCGTAATCTTGCTAATAAAAATAAAAAGTATTTATTTGCAACAATATTATAAACTAACTTTGAAGGCACTTCCGTGTACAAAAACTCTGGGATCTCGAAACACTTGCTAAATTAGGAGCGGAATTATGTTTTCTTAATGTCATGAAGCCATCGGATGAAGACATTTGAGTTTCACCGGAGCGGGACAAACGCGAATCTGTTTCCCGTAAAGTATAATTCAATTTTTTTTCTTTAACACCCGCTGCTGGATTCAGACCAGGAGATCTTGAAACGCTTGGTTTCTTTTCTTCCGTATTAAGGAAAGCACCTTTCTCTCGTCTGAAACAAGACTAGATTTTTTATCCTCTAACCAAACCTCAAAAAATTTCGTCGTGCTTAAATTTGCAAGATATTCCATATGCTAATAGAAAAGTGAAGAATAAACAACAAAAAGCGGAAAGCAGTTTAATTAAAAAATATTTAACAATTTCCTTACCGCTCACAAGTACAACACTCACAACGTTCATTGTTGTCACCAAAAAAATTGTCACCGTAATAGCATGTAATCTCCTCATTAGCTGCAATTTCCCGCAAAACCTACGAACCAGTTTCATCACACTACACAGTTGGAAAATGTTTCGGAACAAGTGAACAAATTTATTATGACGGCAAAGTAATACCTTAACAACTGCAGTGGGTCCATTTGGCACAAACTTACAATTTGGACGGCAGTCATGATTAATGTATGCGCCGGGACCCAACCATAGCTGAGCCCTTTGTTTTCTAGAAAGAAAATTAAAAAACTGATTTGTTAAAAAATGGAGATGGAATGTCGGCCTTTAAAAAATATATACCTTGTACTGTACATGACAGAAAAATCGTTAACGTCTTTCTTTAAAATCTGCTTCTCCTGATTTCCATCCAATTCACCAATAACGCCTACTAAACTATCGATAATTTCATCCTTCCTCCTAGAGCACGACCAAAAGACTTGTTAACACTATCATATATAACAACAGCATATTACTCCATACAGTACAAAATGATTTTAGCAGCTAGTTTTTATTTTAAATAAAATATTCTAGAAATTAAAGTCACCAGTCTCGAGTGGCAATAAGCATTGCGCCAAGCCGATTTTCAGCCTTATAGCGATTGCATCGCTTTATTGTAAACCCCGCGTCGGTAGTAAAAATTTCAAGGAAACGCAGTAACTGCAAAAATTTGCATAAATATAAATTTCACTTCAAAAAAAAAAAAAAAAAAAAAAAAAAAAAAA